AAATGTAATACATTTGTGAATAAGCCTTACCATTAGGTATAAGAAATCTTTAAGGCTACATAATTGCATATGTAGCAGTAAGGACTTCCCCAAGTAGTTGCTGTAAGAAAGTTAATAAAATCAGAGTACAGGGCCTTAAGTTTTTCTTGTGAAAAGGATAATACGGGTTGTTTCTTCTGAACAACATAGTTAGACTTGTCAGCATGGGCTTTGGTAGATATAAACTGTGCATTTGTGCTCCCAACCACAATAGTTTAATCTCAGGCTTTGTGTGGCTGGGTCTATAAAAGTTAAATCTGGCTAAAGCCAGCACTCTTTAGGATACGCTAAAGAAGTTTACATAAGAGACTTATAGACAATCTTAATCATAGTACATTTGGGTACGCTGTATCCTAGATGTGTTATCTGTGTCTGCCCAATTAACCATATGTTTTAAGCCATATTAAATCTCTTTACTGCTACTTTAAATACTACACTGCAAGTCATTTGCTAGCTTACCTACTCACAGACAGGATTTCGATTTTTAGTGAGTAAAAAAATATTATGCCTTCCATAAAAATAAAGGACCAAAGAACTGCATTATTCTAACAAAGCATTAGGTACTTAGCCAGTGAATTAGTTTGACATTTGTGCTGAAGATTAAATAGTCTCTTTCTGCTACAAACACTGAGCCAAGCGCAAGGGGAAAGGTGTAGCCACTGACGTGTTGTCAAGAGTGGTGCTCAGCTGGAGTGGCATGTCTATTGGTAAGGCTTATTACCAAACCTTTGAGATGAAGCAAAGAACCAAAAATTCACAAATTATGTCAATGTAAATTTATTTTCAGAACTTGCACAAATAATTAATTGTAGTACTTTGCAAATTAGGCCCTTAAGTTATTTTGTCAGGATGCCATGGAACAAACTAAAAGTTTCTAATATTTGTAATGATGAGTACATATTATAATATTATAAGGGTACAGGCACCCCTATATCACAGTGTTGTAAATATTTTCTGAAACTGGTACAGTACTGAGGGACTTGTATCTTCTGATATATCAACTATTGACTGTCTAGATCAAATTGTACACAATTTATTTGTTGATGGTCCTGTAACTAGTGTATGGACACATTTCTGGGTGCCTTAGAAGTTGTATTTTTCATGTGTGTTAATATGCAGTATTTATACATTGTGAGAAGCTGCTTTGAATAAAAACATTGAAACTTCATTTCAATGCGGTGACTTTCAGTTTTACCTCATCAGAGTGGGTTTGATAAATAGTAGCCACAGACTCTTCTTTCATATTTTGGCATGCTAAAGCTATTCCACAGACTCCTGTATTTTGAAAGAAGGTTAGAAGGCAAAAGACTTCTTAAGAGAGAAATGGAACTTTAAAGTATTCATTAAAAAAATGCCAAAAAAATAGAGTATTATGAAATACTGCAAACACTGAGAGCAGGACTCTCTGAAATCATTCCTCAGGAATGATGTCATTTATCAAAGGATCTCATTTAATCAAAGGAAACCGTAGAGAACTGTGTTATGTTTCTATTATCATCACTTCCACTACTATTGGCTTTAATATATATGGGTCACCTAGAGTATCATGTGCCCAGAAGCAGCACCCACAGGCAGCATCTCAGCTCCACGGAGGGCATCAGATTTTGGAGGGGGGTTCCCAGGGCTCTGGATCTTGGGGGAGCCTGAGCCCCAGGGCAGCGTGTGCGGTGCCGGGCTGCGCCTGCCACTGGCTCACCGGGACTCGAGATGAGGGTTTCGCTGCTCCATCCCTGAGCGTTGTTCCTGCTCATGGATCTTCCATGACTGGAAAGGTAGCTGGAAGTGACTTTTGTCTTGGGGCAGAAAGGGAAGGATATTTTATCTGGGGACTCAGTGTTACCCAACCACCCATGCAGCAAGGCTTGCAACAAGTGACCGGCGCTTGATTTGAAGCACTATCTTTATGTTCCATCGATCAACTTGCAACTTCAAAATGACAGGCACTTAGTAAAAAATGTAGTAAGCTATTTAGAGCAGAGGATTGAGAAATCCAGTCTTGCTTCACCATCAACAAATCTGATTATAATTTATTACAGTGACTCTTGTCATAATTAACTTACTGTAATTTGCATTGGACCGCAGGCAACATGCACATGATGAACACAGTATGACATTTACATACCATGCAGTTAAAAAGGCACCATAAACATATAACTTATATACAAACACATTTCCTTGCTAGTGTATGATCTTTTTGTGATCTCTATCCTGCTTCCTTGATTTCAATACATCTTGAAAGTGTAAATCCAAAATAGATCTCTTTAGATCTAGACTCAGATTTAGATTTTAGATCTAGAAGATCTTCTCTCAAATTCAACTTTATTTACAACAGGTGGAAGGAAACGCATTTCAACTCACAACTGCCTTTTCAAATCAGAACTAGTCGTTAAGTTGAACTAACTAAGCAAGTTAAAGTATTTTCTCAGCACTGCAAAAGAGGTTAAAAAAAGGCGCTTTATAACTTCCATGTGCTTAGCTAGTATTTTCTATCAATCCTAGAGTAGTTGGTTGGGGGATTTTTTGGGGGGTTTTGGAGAGATTTTCATGTTATGAAGAAAGCCAGAGAAGCAATCTGCTCTAGAATTCAAACTATTTGAGTTGCACTGGCAACATTTTGCTTGAATTTATCCTCTTTCCTTGGTTTCACAAAATTTGCTCATTATAGATGTATAATAGAAGCAGAGCCCTTCAGAGTTTTGTTGGATTCCAGTTATTACGTCCATCTGGGCTGACATGGCAATTTTCACCTGAAACTGTCAGAAGGTGCTATGGGCGAAAGAATGCAATTTTCCTTTCAGAAAAAGGAAACAATTTATTATTTAGCAGAGCATAAACGAATTATCACAGAGCATGAAGCAAAAGCCAGAAAGGCAGAAAGAATCAAGAGGTTTTATAAAGGAAATCTCTACAAGGATTTGTGTTTGCTACAATGCAGGAATATCTAAATATATATATATATGTAATCTCCAGCTATGCTTTATGGTAAAGCAAGGCTAATTGCTAGGGGAGGAATAAATTATCCACACAACAGCTTTTAACATGATATAATGTACAGAATATCATCCTTTCATGCCTCAGCATAAAAGTTATAATGCTACTTAATGAGTCGGGAACAACCCTAGCAATTACAGTTTCGTGTGTCCTTCAACAAATCTCTCCATGTAACAGGTAGAGCACTTTCAGTGCAGCTCCATGTGCCACTCCAAGCAAAACCAATGCAAACCTGTAACTTCAGCCCTCACGACTTCTTCCCACAATGCACAAACCAGCTACAGCCTAAGTCAGTAATGGTGAAGGTAACTTCAAAAAAAATCAAAAACACATTAACAGAAGGCATAGGTCCATGTCTTTAGTTCAAAACTTAACAGCAGTGGCTTAGAAGTTTTCAGTATGACAAAATACAACAAGAAGTGCTCTATTATATTTTAGCCTTCTTTATCTTCTCAGTCATATTTATCAACTTCTATTCTAAATGTCTGTGTAATTTGTTTTATTCATTGGTCATGGGTAGAAATATGGTTAGTCCACAACTGTGGAAAGAGAGATGAAAACGCTCTTTGCAAGTCAGAAGCATGTTTGAAAAATGAGGTATTGAACTGCTGCTACCACCCGAGCTGTTAGATACAAAACTGCATCTAACAAAGTGTCTGTAACAAAAAATGATTTAAACACTAAGCAGCAATCTTGACTTATTAGGATTAAGTTAATTACTGTCATCTAGAAATAAGTTATTCACACTCATCCAGAAATGTGTTTCTGATGTGTCTGTAAATAAGTGCTGCATTCTCTATTACACCAAAAAGATCAGCAATTTCGTACTGCTGTCCTCCAGCCTTCTGCTCAGTGATTACATATGCTGCCTACCAAGCTCCAGGGTATTCACTTCCTACAAGAGGTTCATTAAATGGATAAAGGCATTCACATAAAACTCTTCCCATGCCTAATTATTTGAGATCTGCATTATCTTAGCCCCTCACTTGTTTATTTTGTATGCAGCTGCAGCGAGCTGTTTGTCAGGGACGCAGACTCTGGCGCTCCATTCCCTCCAAGTCCACTTTTTGCCCATTAGGCTCATAATGAGCAACAACTCCAAACCCTTGCCAGCTGAGCCGCTGAGGGATTCCCTGCTGCTGCAGGGCTAAAGGTCGGGCGAGCGCCACTCGGTTGATGGGCAGAGCGTGCGGCGCCGCGCGGAGCGCAGTACTCCGAGTCAACAAGCTCTCCGCTCTAATCCTCCCTTTATTTGGGAAAGCAAGCCTTAATAATATCAGCGCTCTGGCCCGCTGAGGGTTTTCTTGCCATCATGACCTTTCATCACTCCTCTGCACAGGGCTGCTGCCTGCCTTGACATCTGAAAAAATATAGGTTGTTAACTATAGAATAAAATAAAGCAGCCTTTAAGTTCCTTATGTCCCTGACGAGGCCCATTTCAAGAAGGCAAAGCACAAAAATGCTCGTAATGCCCATCCCATCTCCACATTCACCCTGCACCCAGCTTAACCATAACAGAAGAGCAAGACCTTGTCCATTTTATGTACGTACATGTAACAGGATCCAACAGATAGAGGTATTTTTCTGGATATTAATCTAATGCTTACTGGAAAGACTCCTAACAGAAACACCTCAAAATGCACCAGCCATGGTGGGATTCGTTCTGTACGGCTGTAGCTAGCTAGAACACAGAGACACTGCTCCTCTCTACAAGAAGTTTCTCCAATCAAAAAATGCTTTTCCTAACATTTAATACAAGCTTAAACTGAACT